CTAACCTTAACAATATAACTAATTCCTTATTTCAGCCTCATATTGATTATTTTAAAAATAAGCTTGAAAGCGTCACTATACAGTTGAAAAACTTTAAAACGAACCGTGAGAAAAGGGGACTTGTAGATGGTCTCGGTTCTATTATAAAAAGTATAACCGGTAACCTTGATTATACAGATGCAGATCATTTTAATCGCGCAATAAAATCCATCCGCGAAGACGAAATAAAATAGTAACGGAATTTAATAACCACGTAAGGTTAACTAAAGATTTGACAAATCAATATTCCAAAATAATAGATAGCATTGTGATAATCAAAATAAATTGGAAATATTAATAGGTAAAATAAATCAATCCGATGCTACTAGAGACTATGATTTAATTAAATATGCCCATTTTGCACAAGTACTAATGATCCTTAGTGATAACGTTGATTTCATCTCACAGGAATTAATTAAATTACAGAATTACTTAGCATTTATAAGAGCTAACACTATGCACCACTCTATAGTCAATTTAGAATCTATCCGAATAATGATTAACCGTGCAACCGAACTTTATGGCGGTAAGAAGGTAGGAGATTTAGATATTAGAGAATATTATGACATTATTAGATTAGGCTCATATTATGTAGGAAGTGAAATAGTTATAGTATTTAAGTTCCCGATTCTATTACCCCATATATATGATATGTATAAGTTATCTATTGTTCCTAACAAGAAAAACGAAATTCTTACACCACCCCATCCATTCCTAGCCATTTATCAGAAAGATTTTCAGTACATAGAAGCAGAATGCCCGAAGACCAGTAAATGGTATATCTGTAAGGATAAGCGGAGCCTGAGAGATCAAACATCTCCTGATTGCATCCATCATCTCATCACAAAACAAAAGACGAATGCAGTATGTAACCCGCTCACAGTCACCGTGGATAAACCGGCTTACGAAGAACTGGACGACAAGCATTACACCATCACATCCCCTATACCAACGAAAGTACATCTATCGTGTGGCCAAGATCTCTACAAAATACTTCAAGGTAGTTATCTCGTTGTTATTCCTCTGAAGTGCTACATAGAAACGCCACTATTCTCGATCTCAAACACTAAAGACCGATTGAAGGGACAAGCTTTAAAAATAATGGATATACCTGAGGAAAACACCAGCATCCCATCTCCTATTTCGGCATATAAACTAAATTCAATAAACCTTCAACATCTTCATGCAACGAACACCAAAATATCCCAGCAATCACCAGTGAATCTAAGCAGGAACGATGACCACAGTCTATATCATACTACAATACCATTTTACGCATAATAATAAGTGCAGGTGCACTGATTCTATGTATGTTATACAGAAAGTACAAGTTGAAGCCAACTGAAAGTACGCAAAGGAATACAGAAGAAGACCATCCTAAATCATTAAGGATATACGCAGTTCCAAGCACTGAGAAGGTTGATCCCGATCAACTACCAGCTCAATTCACGACCAAGGTCTTCCATAGTTGCTGTTCTTTGGGGGGAGGTGTTACGCAGCCCTAATCTAGGCAATCTGCAGCGTTGCATCAGTTTACGACAACCACGAGGCACCGCGTCAGCATAACGTGTGCACTGTGTAATATTACCTGGTTCTGATATTTTGCCGTGTGAATTCATTCTAGATTCAAACTTTGAATTAGAATCACCTCTTTTAGTTGTAAGAATTAATTGTAAATTAAATATATTTTAAATGAAGATTGCTTTTTTTTGCAACCTCTGGCTGGAGCCCACATAATTAGCGTGACTTTATTTTGGAATAAAATAATATCGTGAAGTGGTTTGTAAGATGTGTAAAAACAAGTTTACAGATTTTAAAATACTACAAACATGAAAAAACATGGGCATACTACAAATATATAAATATTTGATATTTTATTTTCATATCATTTTGCCACATATTACTTATGTAATAAATATTCATATTTAAAAATAATTTAACTACAGTAATCGCTACTCTTAATTTTAGTGATAAACTTTTACTTGATGCAGGAACTGTAAATAGTCGATATAATCGAATACACGTGTATAAATAGAATGACATACATACATAAATTAACTCGAGTGACTCAAGTCACAATATTCGGTGTCTGTCTACAATTTAGTGATAAACTCGACTTACTAATTCGAGCAATTTATTGATATATAATGTAATATCAATAGAAAGTGATATTACGTAATATGTATGTTATGTATTATCAATTTATGTTATATGTAATACACATTGATTAAGTACAATTTGTGATAGTTTAATTATTAATACCATTAAGACCTGAGTCATAACGTAAGAGTGATTTTATTTTATGAAGATTGTTGATACGCAAACCATATAATATATATATATATATATATATATATATATATATATATATATATATATATATATATATATTTAACTACCATAATATATGACTACCTATTAAGTTCAGTAATAATAATTGTGTAAAATGGAGGAACAAATATAAAAATAAATTGTGACAAATTGACACAGCTTCGTTCAGCTATTTTGAATTGTGTAACTCGAGTTCAATTCGAGTTACCTGAATTTCAACTGGAGTAACTCGTTTTGATTTTCTTCCGAGTTGGCACATCTTCAATACAATTAGTTGTTAATATTGCATTACCAGAACCAATGATCTGAACACGAATATCAAAACAATTCTTTTTTAAATTTATTTTTCAAAAAATCTTTAGGTTATTTATAATAATAAATTAGTATCTTTTTTTTTGTGTAATACTATATTAAGGGTCGTTAAAATTTCTAGTGAGCCCAAAAACGATTGTCTACGTTTCTTTGGTACTCTTTCCTCATTCATTATTTCCACATGATCACAACACCAAAGAAAGTAATTTCTTAATCCTGACATCATATTGCAAAGCACACTCTTCTCTTACATCACAATTTCTCACCTTCACTCAGATTCAGCCCTTATATAGTTATTGACGACTGCATTTCTACTGATTTTATTTTACTTTTGTGCTTCTTCTGCTACACATAACTTTCACTACCATACGTTAAATTGGGGACTAATTTAGCATTGCGAATTAGCATACTATGTGCCTTTTTACACATTCTGACATTCCAAAATAGAGTGTAGAGCTCCATTTACTCTATTGCATGCGCTCTCTCGTCGTTCAATATCCTTATCATATCTTATTATTTGTTTTTTAATTAGTCTATGTTTATTTTTAGTAAAAATTTAAACTAGATTTAGCCGACTGAAACTAAATGCAGCCGATTGTTGCTCGTCATCATCATCATTATATCCCATCACAAGTTCAATGCTGAACATAGGCCTCCTCCAAAGATTGTTACTTAGCATTTTGTACGTGGCAGAGCCATGCTACAGCTATATTTGTAGTATAGTTGTAGCACGAATGGGTCGGCACGACCGGGGAAGACCCACCCTCTCAGAGAATACCAGTGTAGAATAGCAGCTTAACGTTTCTGTGTTTCATATGATAAGTTGAGAACAGGAGACCCCTTTTAATGAAAACTAGGCATTCCGACTTATTCGTCACGGGTGACAACGCATCTGCATTTTGATTTGTATTTAAGGATTGATAGAGATGTCTATGGACCAGCAACTGCTACCTATCACGCTGACTGTGTGCTCTTTTGTTACCCTCATCTCTTATGCGGGAAGAAGATTGATGCAAGTGGCTCAGGACCGTTTTTTTACAGGACGTCACTCCATATCAAATCCCTTCGTTTCTAAATATCCGTGGCCGCCTACTGTCGCTTAAATTGCTTGATTAATATAAATATATATGGGACAAACCGAGGAGAAGACATAGTTATGTGAATTATATTTCGGACTTCGGCAACCCGTTATACATACTTACTACCATGTAGTTGCGGTGTAAAAATATTCACAATCCCATATTATCCCGAGGGTGTCATAAGAGTCCACATATAGAAACAAACCCAGAGATGGGCAGCAGCGTCTTTCTACTAAAAGCTAAAAATAAAAACCTACGGCTGCCATCCCGTTCCATGCTTGGAAAACGGGTAAGTAAATATCCCGCCTATTAGAAAATCTTGGGGATCTATGTGAAAGACCTCTGTTAAATCTGTGGACTTTAAAAGGCTGTTACGTTAACGGTTACACATACTTTTAGCCATGACTAAATCGAAAACACATATAACTTTAATCAACCTTAATTAACCCTAACTGTACTATCTGAGGGCAGAGTAGTAGAAGCCACTCCATATTGCCCCGTGGCTTGAGTAAGAGGCGACAGGAAGAAACTGAAACTGGGGATGAATAAAATTTTCTTGATAACAATTGAAATAATAAATCCGCCGTTACAAAATTACCAACTCGCCAGCAAAGTTTTTTTTTTATTTAAAATATGGGTGTAACTCTTATTTTACAGCGAGTACACACATGGTAAGGGTATGCTGTTGCCCATAGACATCTACACCTATCCCCGATTAAGGATTAAATTCCGGATGCGTTGTCACCTCTGAGGATCAAAGGTAGAATGCCTCGCTTCCAGTTTAAACATTCTCCAGTTCTCTATACTCACTATATGAAACACAGCAGCATTAATCATCAGTTTTACGCTGGTATTCTGTGAGATGACTTGTGCTGTGAGCTGTGTGCTGTGAGGGCACCCACACCGGTCGAACCGACCCATTCGTGCTTCATGTATAATGTAGTAGCAAGGTGGTTCCAACAGATATAAAATTATGACAACTATAGCCAAATATTTCCTATAATGCGATGTATGTTGGAGAATTGTTCAACAGTGGGCTTTTGATACATTGTAATGAATGAAATGACCAAATTAGTTCAAAGTTATAAATAGCTACCATTATTAATCCAACTGTACAGCAACTGTAAAGCATGGCAACTAGAGCCCCCTTGGAGATTATTTATGCAGGAGGCCTATGTTTGATTCTTAAATTTGACAATTATTAACAAAACTCCTAAGTTGAACTTATTTGATTTTCAGGAAGATCCAAGCCGTTGGAGAATCTTGTTATCATCTATCGCCGGTGTTTATGCATTTTGCAATATAATTTATACCGCTTTCGCCAGCAGTGACCGAATGGACTGGGACGATATTGGCAAACATAAATTTGGTTATCACAACTCTGCAATTGCTGATAATGGTAGGATATTTTTTAATAAAGCTGAAGTGACAAACTAACTTACCGTTATCCTGATTGTTAGTGGCTATTGCAGTCCTAGGTCACCCAAAACCAACTTCAAACAAGATAATTATTGGAATCAGGCGTTAATTTTCGGAAATTTGTTACATTAAATTTGTTAAGAATTAATTCGCACACATCCACTCAATAAAATAAAATGATGTGTCTTACCTAATTTGAAGGGCACCTCCCGCCCTCCCTCAATTTCGTGTAGGGAGGTGTTCTTCAAACTAGATAAAACATATCATTTTATTTTATTGAGCGGATGTGTGCGAATTAATTCTTAACAACTTTAACTTTTAACAAAAAAAGGTTACAGATGCGTGTTCACATGTGAGGGATAAGATGGGTTGCTTAGTAGTATGTAATTATTCTCTCTTATATCCTTCATATTGGAATTCAATAGTGCAAGCACTGCTTTTTGGCAGTAGGAATAAGTAAAAGGGGGTTTTCTACCCAAGTGGACTCTTTAGCATAGAATTAGTTTACGTAGTATAATTCTATAGATTAAGGATTGTTTAAAAATATATCGTAATTATCTTACATAGCATGCTTGTAATATTTCATTCGTATACAATAGGTACGTATAAAATATAAGTAATTAAATAAGTATTTAGTTTTACTATAATAATTAACTTATTTCATAAATTATAGGTTAGCTATTTACATTGCTGTAAAAAAAGGTAAATCAAATTAAAAAGCAAACTTAACTTTAAAAAAAAGTGAAAAAAAGGTTATCTTATAAATTGGATTAAAAATTTACAACGAACATCGGATTTTTGTTGTTTTACAGAGTTATCAGATTGTTTCTCTTAGTTTTGCTTTACGATATTACTTCTTGCCAAATTTATTTGATCCTAGATCGACGAGAAGTATCCAACAATTTTTATGGGTGTTTGCATATATTGCCTTTGAAGCTTTTCTTACATCTTCAAGGAAATCTTGATCTTAGTATTTAACATTAATTTAAACTTATTACCTCTTACCATTCCTAATAAAAAGGGCCTTACTTACGGACATACACGGACACGGACGATAAAATGATCCTATAAAGGTTCTCTTTTTATCTTAAGGTACAGATCTCCAAGAGTAGTAAAAAAGAATTTCTTGAAGATTTGTTAGATATGTTTTCGTTAAATATTTAGTTATAAAGATATCATAGTATTCATTTCATTGACACCTTACATTAAAGTAGAAATGGAGAAGGCTTTTTGATCGCTGCTTGGGACCTTTTTATTAGTGAAGAAAAAAATACAATCATAATATCATAAAACCGTAAGATTTTATGATTCTGTAAATGAAAATGAAAATTTAAAATTTGATGTGATCCCGGGTTAACTACGATATCGGGATGTCAAATTCTAAGCTCTTCTGTAATCATGAGTAATCTAAAGAACCCAAACCATCTAGAATTAAATTATGTTAAAAATAAACAAAATAAAATTCAAAAATCAAAGATCACGGCATTATTTAAACATTAAATTCCTTTTCATTTCAGATACAAATGAACTAGAACTACACGAAATAAATCACAAGGAAACTATTGTATCAAATCTGGAAGACGATACTGCAATATAACTGTTGCTGCACGCGTTGCTGAACTCATTCATCTAAGGATTATTGTTACATTTTTAAGTTGTATATTAAATAAAACATTTAAGAACTAATTGGTGTGTTTACTACTATCCAAATGCGTACAGAAAAAGACTCAAATAATTTGCCACCGTCTGACTTTCCGTCCGAATACAATCTGAGCATCTTCAAGGCAGGATAGAATAGGACTTTCTTACGCTAAGACTGCAAATTACCGTATAGGCCTTTATCACCACTTATCACTATGTGAGATTGTGGTCAAGCACTCGCTTATAAAGAAGTTTAAACTAATGTAACAATTAAAATAAATTATCTAATGATGGCGGCTAGTGAATACAGCACCCAATTTCGTCCAATACGATAATCTATTGGACGAAATTGGGTGCTGTAGGGATAATGGAAATGCCACATAAGTCTTCTAACATCCGCTATATGGCGATGCACCCATCTGGCTTAAATGAGACGAAAAACCCAGATCAGCGATTATAATCAGTTAAAAAGGTGCAATAGGTTCGTTTGTTGTCGTTAATTCGTCTGTCAAACGTGAAAACAAATCCTTTCTACAACGGGTGAGGTTTATGTTCAGAAATAGATTTTTATAAGCTGATAAAGAAACCAATGAAGAATAAATAAACAATTTTTAGCTTGAACTTAGGTAATTACTTACATCCCCCAGATCGAGATTCGTCAATGGTGGTTCATCTCAAACTATTCACCTGTGCAGGACAGGATTATATAGTCCAAGCATATGCTCAAGCAAGATTATATTCCTCACTCCTGTATTCTGATGGAACAAATCCAGATATGTTTTACCCTCAGAGAACTGAGACGGAATACCTCGTTATCCGTAAAAAAGGTGTCCAGTTCTCATTACTCATGTAACACATCAGCATAATTTCTACTATTCTATGATCGTGTGTATTTTTTCTATTGTCTTGCACTATTATCTTACACGATTATAATAATTTAAGTTTTTTTGTTCAATCCAGTTTGAACTAAATCGTTTCTTGATCATAATTCAAGTCTATCTTTCAGGTTTAAACAGGTATTAAATAAGCTACCGAAATTTCAGTCTAAAAGCGTAATACATCATTTCGGTCATAATGCGTAAGGCTTATAATTTGGTGACTCACTTGAAGGCTTACGAATGAATTTGCGACGTTAGTTTGTTTCTGTTAGGTACGCCTTCTATATAAATATGTTTCCATTGACGCTATGCTACAAAGTAAATAAATGAGATAAAATTGGTCTTTAGTTGTTTAAAATGACAAATATTTTCTGTTAATATTTGTGATTCTATCATAAGTAAAATAAAAAACACAAGAATCGTATGTTTTCCTGTTATTTTTCTTCTTCCGCGTTGCAAAATAGAATAGAGTTCCTTGTAGTTGCAGTGTAGGAATAAACCACCCCATATCGTTCCTTGGATGCTGTTAGGGACGATAACTTTCTACTTCTCATGGCTTTACTGCTCCTAACGTATTACCAGTCGAATCTCTTGAGATGCACGCAGTGGTGGGGGCTCCCTCCCGCATGCATTTTCTTGACTCCCTAGAAGCTATTTCGTCTATTTTTGTCCCATACATCTTCATAGTCCCCTTCATAGGATAACAAGAAATTGCACAGTGTAATTGCAGCGTAATAGATCCATTACTACTCATAGTATTCATTACTGTGTGTGTTGTTAGAGGCGACAGAGGAAAAATAAAATAGGAAATGGGCAGCAGCATCTTTCTGACAATAACTTCAAAATAATAAAAAAGTGCAATTGATCAATGCAGATGGTTTAGTACCGTGTTTTAACATTGCTTGGGGTGGACATTTTATCCGCAATGAATATATGAAAATGATGATGATCTTAATCTATTCCCATCTGCGCCCAAAGGCTACCACAAAAAATGGTTCTAGGCTCTATCTACGTGCATCGAATTCATAATTCATAATTCTTTATTGCATGTCACAAAGTATAAAGTTGGAACAATATATTTACAGAACATGTGACACCCTGTACGGGCGTAGCATATTGAAACAGAGTTTAAATTTTAATTAATATAGAATTCATTTACATTTCATTCAAATTAATTTATTTATGGTAGTATTTATAGTACACAATATATAAATTATATTATAAAAAGTCAAACTAAATAATATTTACATATTTGTTTTTAAAAATTAAATATTAAATATTGTCAACTGATCATTCGTCATTTATATTATGTAAATAAAGTTTAAAAATTTTGATGAAAAATACTAACAATGTCAAATATGTAAATAGAAATAAAGAAAATTGTCAAATAATAAAAATTGATTTATAATTTGTCATTAAAATATTCATTCAAACTGTAAATGTTTTTACAATAAGCATTTTCTTGAGTACTATTTCAAATTTACGACACTGGAGGGCTTTTATTGTATTAGGTAAATGATTGTAAACCCTCATAGCCATGTAGTAGGGACCATTTTCATATAATGTGAGATGTGTGGCAGGAGCAACCAGATTATAACCTCGGCGTGTGCCGTAGCGACTGGGTCTATCTTCAAATTGCTGGAAATACTGAGGATTTTTCCTAACAAATCGGCATAATTTATAAATATAAATGCTCGTTACAGTTAGTAAGTTATATCTTGGGAACAACCTTCGACATGAATCTCTTGGAGCTGCGAATGTGATGATTCTAAGGCATCGTTTTTGGAGCATGGATACCGCGTGTACCTCGGTAGAGTTTCCCCAGAATATGATGCCGTATCTTATCCAGGCAGCTGCGTGGCTGTGGTACGCAGTAAGTGCGCACTGCTCATTAGTATCCTTACGTAGCTCCCGCAGAGCATAGCAAAAACTGCTCAACTTACTCACAACACTTTTTACATGAGTTTTCCACGAAAAAGTTGAGTCTATTATTATCCCGAGGAATGAAAATGTGCGAACTTCCTCAATATTTATACCTTACTAGTCTTACCAGATCTCACATCCATCAGAGATTTACCACGTGCTCGGCGGTAAAGGAAAACAACGTGAAGAAACCTGCATGTCAGAGGAATAAGAAAAAATATATTTCGAAGACATGTGAAGTTCGCCAACGCGCATTGAGGCAGCGTGGCGGTCACTTCCTTGCCCTAATACCCTCTCAGTACTGAGGGGAGGCCTGTGCCCAGCAGTGGGACGTGTATGTATGCTGTAAATTTATTACCAGATCGTTACATTATTTAGCAAGGAGCCGCTTTACACTTTGCTTACCGCATCGATGCTGCAATAATGCGTATAATACGAGTAAATAATCTCGATGCTAAATTATTAAGGACAGACAAGCACATTGTGTAATAAATCAAATCTAACAAAGCATTATGTAAATATGTATTCACGCTATCTTCAGACTATAATCGACTTTCATGATTTTGATAATATTTAGGTTCTGTAACGGGAGCTATGTCGGCGGAGAAGGACGAGTACTCAAGCGTCCCTATTGCTGAAAAACATGAAGGTTAGTATATTGTTAAGGAATGGTCTACTACTTACTAGATTATTTATTTTCATCAATTTACTTTTTTAAATTTCAAAATATAAACTAACTTTCTAAATTTCACTATCATTATTTTTGTAATGATTTCTTATGTTTACGCGAACACTACACATTGAAATAATACTAGTTTTTAACGATTTTATCGCGTATATTTAAGTATAAATACTCGACGTTTCGAGCGCTTTACAGCACCCATGGTTACGGGGAGGACTGAGATGTTCAACGTCCAAATGTCATAGTTAACAGAGGTTACCATAGATAAAATTTTTATCGATGGTAACTATTGTGATGGAGAACTATTCCATGATTAACTATTCTAAGACAAAAATAGTGAAATGATACTAGTTTTTACGGATTTTATCGCGTATATTTAACTATAAATACCCGACGTTTCGAGCGCTTTACAGCACCCATGGTCACGGGGAGGACTGAGACGTTCAACATCCAAATGTCATAGTTAACAGAGGCTACCATCGATAAAAAATTTATCTATGATATGACCATGGGTGCTGTAAAGCCCTCGAAACGTCGGGTATTTATAGTTAAATATACTCGATAAAATTCGTAAAAACTAGTATTATTTCACTATTTTTGTCTTAGAATAGTTAATCATGGAATAGTTCTCCATCACAAACTGTCACAAAGTACAGTCATTTTGTACGGGTCAACTCCCTCAGGTCAACCACCACTGTCATGTGAGTAGCATGTTGAGATGGTGGTGATGGTAGAGGAACTGGACGCACGTGCTTACGTAAACGCGTCACTAAATCATTTCTGCCGGTCTTCGTAGCTTGGATGCAAAGGCGGGTAGGAAGACTCACCTACAGAATCACACTATACCAAGTATAGCTGCTCCGGTGAAGTGACGTAAAGCGACGAAGAACTGCTGCCACTCAGGTGGACGAAACCAGGAATAAGAACCTTACTCGCTCGGGGATGCCCGTCGTGGGATTGAGAGCGCAAGACCCGATCAGTCGAACCGGTCGGATCCTTACTCTGCCAGCAGTCGTGTTGGCGACGCTGAGCAAGTGTTTGGCTTGGAGGGCAAAATTGGTTTTCCATGAGTCCGTAAGGGTTCAGAAGGAAGCTGTTATGCGGGTTTATGAGAGAATAGATCCCTACAGTGATAACGTCATCAAGACTTCATAGAAGGATTCTTCACAACTGAGGAGGGGCTTTATTGATGATGTTTTCGTACCAGAAATGAGGCCTCTAGGGTTGCGGGTACTCAAATTGTTTATTAATGTAACCTTTGACGATGGATATATCTCAAATGTGGTTTTTTGGCATCGTGTTAGCACTGTAAGGGTACTAGGTCAGCAATTGCTGCCCCAGGGACTTGCTTCTAGAAAAGAATAGCGATTAAATGGCCCCAGTTGAGTTCAGAATGGAGATAAAGGGATCACTCGTCTACTCTGATGGTGACAACCATGCAGCTTTAGCCAGTAGAAGTCCGGCACAACCTTTCCGTTTAACCGCAATGAAAGGTCTAACCGCAAATAAAGGAAATCTATAAGGGTTTCTCTACGGTAAAAAATATACTTGTTGCTTTGACTTACTGTTTCTTAAGGCTATGTCATTTTTCAGCAGATATTCTCGATACTGTGGAGCTCGCAAATCGGCTTTGTGCACCATTTTATGCCGACCAGTAACGGATCGTTTCTTATTTGTTTAAGTCATCAGCACTATTGGCAGCATTTACAGTTTTTAAAGTTTTTTTTTATAAATACTAAACAAGAAAACGTGTCGTGAATGTCTAAACTTCCAGACGAGGTGGAATTGTAAATGAATTTAGTATAAATTGAGGAATAGGAGCGAATATCCACTATTGCAATACGACTCCAAACCAATGGAAAATAATCTAGTTTTCTTAGAATAATGACAACAAGCGAGTACACAGTCAACCTGATGGTAAATGAATACTGTGATCTATAGACTGCGGACTAAGATAGAATTCTCCGTTACTACTAAAAAGAGTCTCCAGTTCTCTACTCTCATTATACGAAACATAGCAACAATAAGCTATTTTTGCTGGTATTCTGTAAGAGCGCGGTCCCTTCGCGGTCAAGCATGCCTATTTTTGCTGCAGCAATTAGCGTTATCAATTAGCGTTAAACATAAGAGTCAACGTTTACAAATGCCAGAATAATCTCTTAGCTTTCGATATTTAAAGGTACAATTATCTAGTTACACTTAATGTACATACTTAAAATCATCCTGGGGAGCAGCATCAAATGTACGAGACGTTACACTGCGAGTACAAATCCGCCAAGTTTTTCATTAAGGCAAGTCCTCTATAATTAAGCTTATGTTCACCAGTGATCTATCATGAGTTGACGAAAAATAATAAGATGGAAGAAAAATTATCTTCTGCAAACATACTTGTAAATAACTTTAACAACTGTTTTTCGTGCCGTTAGAAGTGTGAACTTTGTTTTATCCAACTTATTCACAAACGATCACATTCACGGAAACAATTGAATTATCAGACAAGCAAAGTTATGGTTGTGCAGTTATTCTGTCATAATAAATTTCTTAAGCAAATAAGGTAAATATGTTTGAGATCATTGTTCAATGTTTGGGGATAATATTTTTTAAGTGAAAACTTTTTTAGGCTTGTTTACCGGTGACCGTCACGCTAAGCTAAATATAACTTAATGCAACCTTATTTGCACGGTTTGGTCGCTTACCAGCAGCTGGAGGTCCTCCTGGAGCCTTTGTAGTAGTTACATCGCTTTAATATTGGGTTTTTTCTGGCGGTCACTTGGAGAAATCGATCCTGTTTCTGCGTAGTAACACGATATACACCCGTATGCCACATCTCCAGTACTGCTATAACGTGAGCATAACCTTGATATCACTTCTTACTTGGGCATCAGCAACAACGCGTTGAATAGCACCATTTTCTACAATTCCCACAGCTCGTAACATTTGATCTTGACTCAAATGACGACTTTACATTAAAGCTCATACGGCACGTTAATTAAAAAAAGAAAACAATCTAATCCCTTTTAATTAATTAATATCATTAGAATAATTTTAATTTCCTTGACGTAACGAATAACTAAAAATTTTGAAGCCGTATTTTTCTTTTTCCTTTTTTTAATTTACATTTTAATTTTGAAAACAGAATAAAAGTGGTGTCAATCTATAAATAAACTATTTATGGAAAATAAAAAGTTTTTAAACTATAAAAACTTAAATAATTTAGGATTAAGGTATCCCTAAATACTGTCGATGTGTTTATACAAAAATAATGTTTGCAAGTGTGGGAAGCTAAGTTTTCATTTCTGACGTGCTGTAATATTTTTTTTAAATATTTGTATCATTTAATGTAATTATCGACTGTTATATTATCTCGAACATATTGAACTCAAAATAATATTAACTCAACAAAATTAATCAACTGATTTCACACGTGACAGAGCCACGCTGCAGCTATATTACGGTTATGGCACGAATGGGTCGGCTCTACCGGGGAACTACCACGCCCTCACAGACGGCGTATTTTACCAGCGTAAAATAGCAGCTTAACACTGCTGTGTTTCGTGTGTTGAGTGTAGTCTCTAGTATATATACAGTAATCTATGGTGTAGAGACACGGAGAGCCTTTTTTAATGCAAACAAGGCATTCCTATTCCTCAAGCGTGACAACGTGATGTGGGTATTTGTATTATTGTATACGTAGGTAGTTATGCAAAGGAATAAATTAGTTGTGGGGTCATAAGGAAAGTAAATCGAACACGACAATAGAATAATTGCAACATAACATACATAGTATAATATTTATGAAAAGTAGAAAACTGCGAAATAATTCTATAAAGTGTGTTTTGGAATTAACAATGGAGCACGCGCGTTCACCTAACGAATTACAGTTAGAAGGTGAACCCTAGTGGGTTGATGGGCTGATGCTTGGAAGACGTGGAGACAACAATTCATATTAATTGGTGAAAGCTTGGGGTGTGCATTCGGAGAAATCGGTAGTAAAAGCAAGTTTACTTCTCAATTTAATTGGTTCTGAAGGATTCGACATTTATCAAACTTTTACCTTCACTAAAGATGATGTGCAAATAATATTGAGTAAATTTGATGAATATTTTGGAACTAAAATCAATATTACATTGCTTAGATACAAATTTTTTACTTAATCAAGAGGAAGGTGAAAACATACAGCGGTATGTTACGTCATTGCGGTTATCGCGTAAAAATTTTAAGTTTGCAAGTTAAGAAGAAGAGCTGATAAAGAATCGAATTGTGTGTGGTATAAATAGCACAATAATCCGGGACCGTTTGCTCAGATGTGAGGACCTAGACCTGAACAAAGCTGTGAAGTTGTGCCAGGCCGAAGAAATTTCGCAATAGAGTAGCCGTCAGCTAAGTGACTTCACTAGTGGTATATGTGCTAGTGTAGTGCAGGTCGATAGTGTCAAAGAAAGGAGAGAACAACGCGACGCGCAGCGCACAGGCGCCGGCCGCGTCTCACGGGGATCCGCGCTGCGCTGCGCGCGCTGTGTACTCGAGCACGGTGCAACGCCTCGATGTCCAGCCGTTTACGCCACTTGTTTCATTTGTGGTGAACAAGGTCCCTTTGCGCTGGTATTTAAGCAGAACTTAAATAGTAATAAGGCCGGTATAAATAGTGTATATGACATTGAGTAAAATGAAGATTTTACGCGTTCTATTGATTGTGAATCGTTTTTTATATCAACCATAAATGGTCAAGAAGGTTGTTCAGATGGCTGCTTCCAAACATTATCTTTTGAGAAGGGTATCGATAACTTTAAATTGGACACGGGGGCGGATATAAATGTTTTATCTTTTGAAAGATTTTTGCCACAGTTTTGATTCCAATATAATAAAAAATGATTGTATTAAATTGGAATCGTAAAGTGGTAATATAATACCAGTAAGAAGCGTTTGCTATTTACAATGTTTTTTATAAAAATGTTTGTTATAATTTAAAGTTTGCGATTGACGATTTACATTGTCAAAGTGTGCTGGGCCTACAGTAGTGGAAAAGTTAGGGATAGTCAAACGAGTTTATGAAATTAATATATCACACTATGATGACTTATTTAGTGGTATTGCGTGTCTTCCAGGAAAGTAAGTTATAATAAGATAAGATAAATCAGCGAAACGAGAATTCTAGTTTAAGCCAAAATAAAAATGCTCAAAATGTACTCAATGATAATAATAATGAGGCATCCACACAATGGCCAAACACTCTCACACGTAGTAAGGACCGACGACTCATCATGAGAATTAATTAATCAATTTTAAAGGTATAAATATAATAAATTTTAATTAGAGTTATAAGAAATTTCGTTTGTTTCAGTTATTTTTTTTTTTTATATAAGAAAGATGGATGATATTGTACCTCTATTCTTAAGGGGAGATGTTGTGGGTATTTGTAATATTGTATACGTAGGTAGTTATGCAAAGGAATAAATTTAATTAGTTGTCAATCATCTGTGTTTTGATTCTTGATTGAGGATAGATGTGGATGTCTATGAACCACAGCATCAACTTACCATCAGAAGGACTGTGTGCTCGTTTGTAACACTTATTCCATAAAAAATGTCCTTTTTCGTTCGTACTAATAGAACCATTTTAATAATAATTAATATTATAAATAATATATTAATTTTTACTTTAAAAATTTGTAAAAATTGAGAACGATTTTACCTGTCCCATATTTTTATTATTGCATTTTGATTTATGTGTCACAAGAACTAGTAAATTATCTAGGCCCAAAAAAATAGAAACCAATTTCGCATGACTTAAAAATTCTAAATCGAAGCAATGATAAAAAACTCAAAATATAATTAAAAAACAGTGATGAATTGATAGAAATTACTAGTAGAAGTAATTTCGCATTTTACAATATAATAATAAAACCGTATAATTATCTATTTCAGATTTGCCGGAAGCTAATCCGCCAAAAGGCTTTGGGGTGCGCCACGTCCAAGCATTACTTCTGTTCATATGTTTATCTGTTGGTATGACAATGAGAGCTCACCTTAGTGTTACATTAGTAGCTATGACAGGCCGTGGAACACAAAACTCTAATGTGAAGTGTAGTCAGTTGTTAAATGATGACAGCATATTCAATTCGAGTACAAATTCAACTGTCAATGCCGATTTTAAAATGCTAAGTAAAATCGCTACAGATGATTGTACAAGACATAACCATATAACATCATTTTGGGATATTTATCGCGTAAGTATAATATTAAAAATCAAAAATATTATATGCAAGTACAATGATAACGATAATTATGTTAATACTAGTTTTCGTTTTAATTTTTTCTTACGCAACGAGTTAATTTACGAACTACAAGTAATAGTAATTACGTTACTAAGTAATTACGGAATTTTGCAAACGCGGGGACATCCATTTATTTATTTGTTTCCCCTACACACATTTTTGTGTCATTTTGCCTTAGCTGCCCAAGTAACTCCGCGTGCTATTTATCTCGTGTAATTTTCTTCTTCCTTCACAGTTAAAATTGACTAGGTCAAATTTTTGAGTGAACGTAAGCTTGGATTGAATTTCTTTTTATATGGAAAATCAATTGAATTGGTTTTATTGTTTTATATTCTAATTCTATATTTTAAGTGAAAAATCTAAAAAGAAAAAGTAATTATAATATAGTCTACCGTAACAAAAATATTACGATTTTTAAACAAGGTGGTCTAAAAAAGGTTTCTGACCTCAATATGAAAATGGCTGCTCGTCAATAAAGGTGTGATTTGACAGTTATGCACTTAAATTTTAGCCATTTTAGACGCTTAGTTGTTATTTGTCAGTCGTTCGAGTGAGACGAAAGGGAAATAATTGAATATTGAGCTGTCTAAAAATTTTTACTTTTGAAAGGCTCTTTGTATGAGAAATCTGTATCATCATTTACAAAATATAGTCGAAACAGTGGACTACAAACTTAAACCAGCTCTAAAACAGTACAAAAAATGTTTTTCCGGCTGAAGAAGTGATGGTGACTGTTTTTTGGGATATTTGTGGAGTTATTTTAATCGATTATTTTCAAAAAGGAAAGTCCATTACAGGAGCATGCTACGCATCATAACTTGATAAACTAAAGGCATAAATTGCGGAATAATGGCCACATTTATGAAAAAAAAAAACAATTCCTCTATCACCATTATAACGCGGAGTCTCAAATCTCAGAATTTTCCATGGCGTAAATCCACGAATAACGGTTTTAACTTCTTGACCATCTATCTTACCACCAGATCCAGCCTCAAGCAACTTTTATTTGTTTTCTCATCTAAAAGTTACGCTTGCAGGACAGAGATTTACGTCAAATGAGGAGGCATACACCTTCATGAACAATTATTTTGCAGAGAAAAACACCGAGTTCTATTAAAACGGGTTAAAGAGATGGGATCATCTCTGTCAGGAGATTATGTAAAAATAAAAATAAATTTTAGGAAAAATATCTTTGTTAGGCCGAAAACTTTTCAGACCACCCAGTAAAAACTCGACATATGTTCAATTTTTATTAAATGATGTTTTTCCTTTATTTTTTTTTATAAAATGAAGTAATAAATGAACTCACAGTATACGTGATGTTAAGTGGTTGTCGCAGTTCATGGACATTTGCAATAAAATTTGAACAAAAGGAACAAGATGGAATTCCTCACAGTTATTGATTAAACTGGCTCTCTATACCCTTGAGATGGGATAGCAATGCTATCACTGCTATATCATAACAATAAGAGATAAGAGGGTGATGGTGTCTATACGTAAAAAAATCTTAGGCAGAGAGGAGTCCTACCACCTAGTAATTTTTTCCGCCATATTTACATTTAAATAGACTTCAAAAATTACTTGCATTGTCGCCTTTATATTTGTGACTTCAAAGTGCTCGCACCGATATATTTTCTATAAATATAAATACCGATTAAATAATATTATATTTTTAACTTTTGCAACATAAATTCTGGAATGGTTCAAATATTTTAATTGTTTCCTGTCGACTTTTTATGCACAAAAATATTACGAGTTTATTTGTGTTTTAAAATAATTGTTGTCAATTTTTGTTACATGTAGACGTACAACTGGTCGAAGCCAAAACAAGAAATGATCTTATTCGCGTTTTTCGTTGGCTACACAAGTGCGATGATACCCATGGGACTGATAGCACAGAAATTTGGCGGGAAACTGCCGATTTGCGTGGCGTTGGCTGCGAATGGAGTATTATCCATTTTAACGCCATGGCTGCCTTTAATTGTTAGTATACAATATTTTTATCAGTTCGATAATCTCTTGAAGCAAAAATTAAAAGCAGTAATGTTTTTTTGTATAAAATATGACATCAAATGAATAAATGACAAACAAACTTACAGTTCATTAATTGAAAGTGACTACTGCCGTTCATGAACACTTCTAACTTCAAACAAACTAACTTCATTCTGAAGACGAAGACGAAATGCGTCACAGTCTACACTTATAATAAGATTATTAACCTATGCCCCTTAGACCGAATTTCGGTCACGGCGGCCAGTCTACACAGACTAGCCATCTTCGTAGGATAGGACTATATCGCACAAATGTAGGTGCAGTCTCCACTCTCTAACTCTAATAGTCCGATGGGACGGTACGGAAAAAAATCAATACTCGTGAGGCAGTATATAATGCTTCAAAGACAAAAAGGAATTTATTGCCACCCGTTCATCTGATTTTTTCAAGAAGGACATCAATAAACTGCCACTGCGATGACAAAGATGGATCGATTGCATGGGCGTTACTTTGATTAATACCTAGAAATAAAAAATATAGAATTAAAATACGTCAACTTATTTCATAAAAAACGGAAAATTCATAAAGATCTTATATTATGTATAACGACCTAATATGACTAAAGATGTTAAAATTTATTAGCTAAGATCCGTTTGAAAAATAAGTGATGTAAAATAGATGTGATTTTGTTTAGCGGTCAGGTGTCACATATATACATAATTTCTTCTGCTTATGCTTCATTTAGAGGCGAAACACGTGTCGTATTGTCGACAGTGCTTTTTCCCACTACTAGTGCTTTTTACTGTTACCCAATTAAAAAAATTGTATTGATTAGAATTTTTTTATTCCGTTCTTTATATGTATTTTCTATTTCATTTAACAAATATGGTATTTTAGATAAAAAATAGAGGTATAAAAAATATGATCTTAATTTGACCTTAAAACTGTGATCGTATGTATTATCTTTGTATATAACATTCCGGTGTGCGTGAGTTCGTATTTCATGTCTTTCTAAAAGGCTTCAACGATTTTGATGAAATTTTGTGGGTTGACCTGAATGGTACTTAACTATAAATGACCCGGTAGGTGGCACTGTTGTAGAGATCCAGACATCACCCGAGCGAAGTTGGGGCGGACCGCTAATTTTTTATTATATTGATCCAGGGTGGCTGGATATTAGTATGCATTGGCCGACTTCTACAAGGAATGACACAGGCAGCGTTTTACCCCAGTATTCACACACTCCTGGGGAAATGGGCACCACTTTCCGAGAGAGGACGTCTCAGTACTTACATTTATACAGGTATGATTTGCTTTTATATAGCTTAATATGGGAGATATTTATTATAGCTGTGTACATTACGGAGTTATCGTTTCATGACAAACACATTAATAAACAACTGCATCCAAATGTTTTACGTGGTAGAACCATGCTGCAACTATATTGATTGTATAGTTGCAGCAAGAATGGGTCGGCTCGACTGGGGAAGGACCACGCTCTTACAGAATATCGGCGTCAAATGGCAGCTTAATGCTGCTGTGTTTCGTATGGTGAGTGTAGAGATCTGGAGACCCTTTTTACTGGAAAAGAGGCATTCCATCTTAGTCCTCAAGGCTGACAACGTATCTTCATTTTTATTCGGAAACGAAGATGGATGTAGATGTCTATGGACCACAGCAACCACTTACCATCAGTTGGACTGTGTGCTCGCTTGTCACCCTTTTCCTATTAAAAAAATTCAAACAATCACGGCCAAAGATGTGTTATCACTTCTGAGTTCTAAGATGGAAAACCTTACAACCTATTATTATTTCCTCTGTGGCTCTCTTTGTCCTTCAGACCGAAACACAGCGGTTTCTGTACTGCTACTTCGTTGTATAAATATGTAATAAATAAGGTAGTGTGATACCTATTTAGACGGATTTGTAGGCAGAAAAGTAATTCTACCACTCAGTACTTAGAATTCGAGTAATATTTCAAATTCGATTGAGCTGCTTAATTAATTACTATGAAGCTGGCTACAATGTCGTTATTAAACATATTTTTAATCTTCTCCTTCATCATCATTATCATCATCATCATCGTCATCATCATCATTACAACCTTTAAAGTCCCTTTCAGCATTTTAAAGTCCAATTTTAGCCTGCCCTTCCAAGTGACCTTGTAACTGAACGTCACTCGATGTACAGATATCGATTACACATATACCATAAATTTTCATTTTTGGGTGCTAATCCACTTATAACTATTTGGACGGAAAATATGAATCTGAATCTTTAGAAGTGGACATGGAAATCGAAAAATTCTGAATCAGCGAAGGGAATAACCTAAAATTGATCAGATACGATAAAGACAACCGACAATATTTATTTTAGTCTGAGCGTTGAACTGGATTACATTTAGTCGTTCCCAATCTGTAAATTTATTTATTTAAAAATTTATTAATAATAAACTAATTAATTTAAAAATGTTACTAATATCGATATCAATGCAAATTTCATTAAGAAACAAGGGATCGCTTTGAAATAAACTGTAGGTAGGTATTGTATGATCGAATTTGAGCTGCACTGGAAGTAATTGATATTGTTTATATTTTCACTAGCCCCTGCTGACCATAGGCCTCCCTCGTAAAAAGAGGTATATCATCGGCCCATTGCCACGTCAGCTTACCAATCCATTGGGCTATGTCGGTTATTCTGATTCCACTGTGGATATCGTCGTTTTTAAGTCTATCACGCAGAAAAACCCCAAGCATAGCCCTCTTCAAAGCTCGTTTAGCGACAGAAATGAAAAACCACGTCTCATATCTATGGAAAAGGCATCACTGACAACACGCATTGGTTGTACAATCTCGTTTTCAAGTTTTGAGGTATACCTGACGATATGATGTATTGTAATTTCCCGAACATTAACCTAGCCTAGCCGAGTTGAATCCGACGATTGACCCTTTGGTCGAAGTTGGACTTACCTAGTCGGACTATTTGTCGCAGGTAAACATAGTCATCAACAACTTCGAGCTTAGTGCTCCCAACAACTACCGGCATGGCTGTGACATGGACGTTGCACATGATCATCATCATCATCATCATCATTACAGCCCTTCACAAGTCCACTGCTGAACATAGGCCTCCCCCAAGTAATGCCACAAAGCACGGTCCTAAGCCACCTGCATCCATCGACTTCCTGCATGTCTTACCAGGTCGTCACTCCATCTAGTGGGGGGTCGCCCTACACTACGCCTACCGGTACGAGGCTGCCACTCGAGAACCTTTCTTCCCCATCGGTTATCGGTTCTTCGAGCTATATGGCCGGCCCATTGCCACTTCAGCTTACTAATCCGTTGGGCTATGTCGGTCACTCTGGTTTTACTGCGGATATCCTCATTTCTGAGTCTATCACGCAGAGAAACTCCGAGCATAGCCCCTCTCCATAGCTCGCTGAGCGACCTTAAGCGTCCTCATACGGCCAGCAGTGAAGGACCACGTCTCAGATCCGTAAGTCATCACTGGCAACACGCACTGGTTGTACAATCTAGTTTTTAGAGATTGAGGTATACCTGACGAAAAGATATGCCGTAATTTTCCGAACGCTGCCCAGCCGAGTTGAATCCGTCGATTGACCTCTCGGTCGAAGTTGGACTTACCTAGTCGGACTATTTGTCCCAGGTAAACGTATTCGTCAACAACTTCGAGCATAGTGCTCCCAACAACTACCGGCATAGGTGTGACATGGACATTGAACATGATCTTTGTTTTGTCCATGTTCATCGTAAGACCTATCCGTTGGGAGGCACTATTGAGGTCATTGAGCATAGTGCTTAAGTCCTCCAGTGATTCTGCCATAAGGACTATATCGTCGGCAAATCGAAGGTGAGTGATGTACTCGCCATTGATGTCAATACCGTATCCTTTCCAGTCCAGTAGCTTGAAAACGTCTTCCAATGCAGCGGTGAAGAGTTTCGGGGATATAACGTCACCCTGTCTTACACCTCTCTGCAGTTGGATAGGTTTCGAGCTCTGGTTCTGTACTCGGATAGCCATCGTAGCCCTACTGTACAAACACTTCAGCACTTCGATATACCGACAGTCAACTTGGCACCGCTGAAGGGACTGTAGCACCGCCCAAATTTCGACGGAATCAAAGGCTTTCTCATAGTCCACATACGCCAGGCAAAGTGGCAGATTGTACTCTTCAGTCTTCTGTACAATCTGCCGCAGGGTATGTATGTGGTCTATGGTACTAAAGCCTTTTCGGAAACCGGCTTGTTCGGGAGGCTGGAAGTCGTCAAGTCTGCGTGCGAGACGATTCGTAATGACTCTCGAAAACAGCACGTAGACGCGGCTCAGAAGGGGAAATCGGTCTGTAGTTCTTTAAGAGAGCGTTGTCGCCTTTCTTAAAGAACAATACCACCGCACTTCTGCTCCACGCCTCTGGAGTAGTGCCACCATGGAGGACGGAATTGAAGAATTACACATGATTACTACTACTAATTACAATTTACTTATTATTTTGTGTGATATTATGTTACATGTATGTAAAACATATTTGCCATTGAGCTAAATAAAGGGGATATATTATTTATATATTATTATATAAATGGATATATCAGAGATAGGGAGCGAAATTTAGCCCTGAGAGAAATCATGCAGTTTGGCGACGAACACCATGTACCGACTGAACGATTTGGATATACACTCGGATATGCTGATAGATTTTAAAAGTGGGTAAACGAAAGATAGTTTCATAGCAATTGAACTAGTCCATTTGCATTTTTTGTTCGGGAACTACCGATTTCTATTATCATCCCTGAGAAAATTTATTAACACTTATCCTTTAACGCAGAGCGAAATTTATAAGGCAGTATTTATGGGCTGTTTTTAGGTGTAAGTAAACATTATATGAACAAAATTAATTGCATAACAAATTTAATATGCGATGTTGCATAGTACGCCGTTACGAAACTACAATGTTTGTTTTATTTGATTCCTTAAACTACTTAGAAACTTAGAGGACCCTTCGCACCTCATCGTTTTCATATGTTAGTAACCGTTTGATTGTTTTCTTAAGATAACACATGGTTTAAGGGTTCTGTGTATATCGTTTGTTAGGCTCGTACTTTATGCGAGTAATTATTTTATATAATTGTTTATATATAGTCATTTCTGAATCTGACAACAGCGCCACCTACCGGACCCAAATATGAATTTAAGTCATCTAATTGAGCCATTTTCGTTTTTTTACGAGATTTCCATTAATAAATATCTATAAACCAATTGAATTCATGTGCACGTAATTGGTTTCTCAGTCCATTTTTTTTAATAAGAGTAGGTTTGTAGAGTCGTTGCTATGCAGCCGCAGCGTTACTGTACTAAGTAAAAATCTTGTATTCAGGCAATGTCAATCAATTTACTTTCCATGTTTAACTAGATAAGTGTCATCTCTGCGAAAAAATAATCGTTCGATCGAAGATCGGCCGCTTAATGACTTTTATAATTTATTTAACGCGTATGAGTCAAAAGTTAGAAAACTAAATTACTCCTAAACTGATAGTCGAGTTATTAGTTTAGAAATAATGAAACGTATGATGAAACGGAACAGTGATATAACAAAAAAAGTAGAGATTGGGAAAAGTGTATTAAATTTTTTAGTCCATTTCCTACTTGCTCATGTACCATGTACATGTAGTGGTGATGTGAAAATATTTATTGCCCCATATCGTCTTGTGTACAGAGGGAAATGAACTACGATATTTGCGACACCTGCATCTTGCTAATTACAACTTAAAATAAAACAAAAACAGTGGTTGCCAACCTTGGCAACTATGGTGAATATCACCTCTGGCATGTGGCCATATATGAGAAGAGGGACCTAAGAAGATTAAACAGAAGACTTTTGATAGGCTATAATGGTATGGTAACGGTTACAATTTGTAAAAGTTAAAAATCATTAACATCATCGTCCTGTGAAAAGGATTTTTAATTGTTTATTTATTTTTATAAAAGCGAAGAACGGGCACACAGTCTACTTTATGGTGTGTCCCATAGACACCTACATCTGGCTTCTACTAGGAATCAAAAAATCAGATAAAAGGACACAATACAAATATACACTATAATATCTATATAAGATATATTAGAAGCCAAGAATGTCATATACAGACACAAAACACGGACAAAACATATCTTTAAAGCCAGAGACATGAGAGTCTATCAGATCCTGAATTGCGTTCAAAAAAGTGTTATTTTTCATAGAATCAGGTCGACAAACCTCACACAGTTCTTCTAATAGTAAGTGGAGTGTTAGGCCCATAGACATCTATCTACATTTATCCTCGATTAATATTTAAAATGTCACCCCTTCTTATTAAGATGAAATGCCTCATTTCCAGTAATAAGGGTTTCCTTATTACTGAAACACATAGGTAACGTGAAGAATCAACGTTCCGGGAAGTCTGCAGTTTGCGATCATATCCTAGATGGCCCCAACCATTACATCAGATTAGATAGACCACAAATCCTCGCGAAAGAACATCAATTCCTACCAAGTATGATACGTGAGGCTTTTGAAATTAAAAAAAAAACATCCTAATTTCAATAGAGAAGGAGGCTGGGTACTACCACCTGCTTGGGATCCTAAAATTATTAAAATTATAACTAAACCCAAGCATACCATTGCAAGACTTCAAAACACAGTTAGTTCATTCTGCGTAGATCGGACCAAAGACAATAATTAAAAAGCTGAAGGTACTCCGGGTTAACTTTGACATCGGGACGTCAGTCACCTCAGTCCCCGTGATCATGGGTGCTTGAAAGCACCCGAAACTTTGGGTAATAAAAATAAAATAAATAAAACGCGATAAAATCCGTAAAACTAGTTTTAATCAATGTATAGTGTTCGCGTAAATATAAGAAATCATTAAGGGTTTCCTGTACCCCACACTCACCATACAGAATACAGCAGCATCAAGCTGTTACTTTACTCTGGTATTTTAAAAGAACTTGGTGCTTCCAAGGTCGAGCCAATTTTTTTTCCTTAATTACCATGATGATGATTACTATAAAGATGAAATGCCTCATTTCCAGTAATAAGGGTTTCCTATTCCCCACACCCACCATACAAAACACAGCAGCATCAAGCTGTAACTTTGGTATTTTGAGAGAGCGTGGTGCTTCCCCAGTCGAGTTAATCTATTCGTGCTACAACTATAATACGTATAGCTTCAGCTTGGCTCTACCAGGTATAAAAGATGTAAATCGTTCTTTAGTTTAAATCTGAAACAATAATTTTTATTTAATAAAGATTACAAGAATACTTATTGAAAGTATTTTAAGCTTTACCACTGGTTCGGGAAAAACTTCTGTCCTGTGAAGAATCAGCAAGAAACCCTTTGTTTGTCGTAAATACGTACACATTGCCCCATGAAGGAATTACTGACTTTTTGGCGTTGACCAACTAGTATAGCTAACTTGTGCTTATTCCTAGTATTTACAGAACTTCACTTCACACATCACTTCACACTATTTCAAAACTCTTTTTGTTTTTGTGTATATACATTTTATTTTTGAAAATAAACTGAGAGACCAAAGTTAATATATTTATTTCCTTAAATTTCTTCTAATTTTTTTCCTTTGAACCTGAGTTTTAAAGTGCTCGTGTGGCTCTCTTCTGCAAAACAAACATAGTATCAATGTCACTCGCATTAAGCCTTAGCCATACTCTATATGAAGTTTTACCATGGAAATAAATAAAATTATCTATACTAGCTGTTTCAACACATTACATGTGTTGGTCTCTAACTCTTTGACAGAATATACTGCAAAATTAAGTTTACTAGCTAGTTAAGATAACATATTTAAGCTTTACGTCAAATGTAACTCCGAGAAAAACAGTGGACTCAACTAGACTTATCTTTTCCCATGTAACAGCTCCAAAAATAAAAAGAAAATTATTCGTCAATCATAATTTCATTCGACTTTAAGATCAAAATATTTATGAATACTGACGTTTCTTAATTGAAATACTCAGGAGAACATTAAAATGTATACATTTCCGGCAACGTTTCACATTCAAAGAGCAAAAAGGAAATGGAACGTATTTTCCGTCCAATTTAACAAGGATCATCAGCTGACATTACCAAAAGGAGTTTGCTATAGGGAGTTATTTATGCGAGTAGCGATGGGCATAACGCTTGCCATGTTTTATTACTATAATTTTTCCATTTTATTTTCCTTCTCAACGAAATGGAATAAAATACTCAGAAAAACTTAGATTAATCTAAAACGAAATTAAATATTTGTTGATGAATTCATAGTGGTATCAAGTGTCATTGTCTTAGTATCTCTGCCACGTAAGAAAACGATCACATTCTCCTCGAGCGTACTAACATCTGGTAAATAAAAAAGACAGCAGTCAAATGGTTAAAACTGTGAACTATAAATTAAAAAAATTCGTTAGTTTGAATCCATTAACCGTCTGATTACGTAAACCATTCCTCAGGCAAGCATTTCGAATTACAACTGTAAATAAATTAATCTAAATCGCTTTTATGCATGCAGTCCTTTTAAAAGATTAATTGTTCTACAATATATTCACGGAGCTTAAATTACATGTGAATTTTTGCATCATAATTTACGAGCCACAATAAATACGCTACGCTATGTTCCATTGCTAATTTTACTTCCGCTGGCGAGTTTCCGTTCCCACATCCTCATGTTAATTAGGATTTAAATTAAATCCAGAAAATTTGTTAAATGATTTAAACGGCAGAATGATGTTTCAAGTTAATTACGTACGTAATATTTGCCATAACTTAATAATAGAATAATAAATATTGGTATATTTAACAATTATGCATAATTATGATAATAAGATATTGATGAGTTAGATAATACCCATTAATATAGTAGAATATGGAAGATTTTTTTTTGACTTTTCATAATAAGGATGCCCTATCTCCTATTTTTTACGTAGAGCTACGCTGCAGCTATATTATGGTTTTAGCAAAAATGGATCGGCTCGATCACGGAAGGATCACGCTCTTACAGAATTCCGGCGTAAAATAGCTACTCAATGCTGCTGTGTTACGTATGGTAAGTAGAGAAACGGGGACCCTTTTTATAAGAAAGAAGGCATTTCATCTTAGTTGTCAGGGAAGTGGCAAAGTAAATTTTGATTCTTAATCGAAGATAGATGGAAATATCTATGGGCAACAGCATTCACTTAATATCAGGTGGACTGTGGGTTTGCTTTTTACCTTTACTCTATAAAAAGAAATATCGTCCCTTGGGTGTTACAACAAGAAACGGAGGGAAAATAAAATAAAATATGGGCAGTAGCATCTTCTCGATAGCAACTCAATTATAATGCCCTCCAGACCAAATTTGGGCCATGGCGGCCTGCCTCAACGGATGCTAGCCATCGGTGCAGGACAGGATTATAGTGCCCAAGTGTATGCGCAAGCACTGGTGCACTCTCTTATTTATAATGTGTTTTATTTATAAATTGTACTACCCGAAGACTACATTGAACAAACATAACTGATAACATTGAATAAAACTATTATTTACGGATTTTATCGCGTTTAATTACTTTAATTTATTTTTATTATTATCCCGACGTTTCGGGTGCTTTACAGCACCCATGGTCACGGGGGGGCACTGAGATGTTTGACGTCCCAATGTCATAGTTAGTCCGGTTACCTTCAGTTTTATTTTATTTTTAATATAAATTTTTGGTACGATTTACGCATAACTTATGCATAAGGTATGCTTGAGTTTGGGTTTAATTTTGTTAATTATAGGATCCCAAGCAGATGGTAGCACCCAACCATCTTCTCTATTGAAATTTGGATGTTTTTTTAATTTCAATGGCCTCGCGTATCATCCTTGGTAGGAATCGGTGTTCTTTTGCGAGAATTTGTGGTTTATCAAATCTAATGTAATGGTGGGGACGATCTTGAACATGTTCGCAGACTGCAGACTTCCCGGAGCGTCGGTGCTTCACATCAGCTATATGTTCCTTCACGCGGGTTTTTATAGATCTCGCGCACCTGCTCTACTACCATATGTCAGAGGAGTCACGAACAAGATTGGCTACATCTTGAAGCGAGCGTCCATTAAGACAAACTACAAGCCGCTGAAGAAGATTAGTCAATTTTTACCATCCATAAAATGTAATATTCCTCTACAAGATGCAGGTGTGTACAAGCTAGATTGTGAATGTGGTCTCTCTTACATAGGTCAAACAAAGAGATCAATAAAAACCCGCGTGAAGGAACATATAGCAGATGTGAAGCACCGACGCCCCGGTAAGTCTGCAGTCTGCGAACATGTTCAAGATCGTCCCCACTATAACATTAGATTTGATAAACCACAAATTCTCGCAAAAGAACATCGATTCCTACCAAGGATGATACGCGAGGCTATTGAAATTAAAAAACATCCAAATTTCAATAGAGAAGATGGTTGGGTGCTACCATCTGCTTGGGATCCTATAATTAACAAAATTAAACCCAAACCCAAGCATACCACTGCAAGACTTCATGATACTATAAGCTCGTTTTGCGTAAATCGGACCAAAAATTTATATTAAAAAAAAATAAAACTGAAGGTAACCGGACTAACTATGACATTGGGACGTCAAACATCTCAGTCCCCCCCCGTGACCATGGGTGCTGTAAAGCGCCCGAAACGTCGGGATAATAATAAAAATAAATTAAAGTAATTAAACGCGATAAAATCCGTAAATAATAGTTTTATTCAATGTGTAGTGTTCGCGTAAATTTAAGAAATCATTATAACTGGTAACAACTAACAACATAAAAAAAACGGTGTTTACCAATGCACTTGTCATGAGGAAATTTACGGGGGCCGGTAGTTGACATATTATATATGACCTGATTATATTATCATATAATGTTAATTCTAATTTTTTCACATATTTCTGAAATCATTTACAGGTTCTCCATTTGGTACAATTCTGGCATTTCAATTAGCAGGCTTTTTTGCCGGCAGTCCGAAATTCGGATGGCCGTCAACATTTTGGTTATCTGGTGTTTGTAGTCTTATCTGTTGCGGCCTTCTGTACTACTTCGGCGCGGCTACTCCCGGTGACCACCCTAGTATAAGCACAGAGGAGTTAATATACATCACAAAGGATGGAAACACGTACAGTGTTCCTAAGGTGAAGTCTACAGTTAATGTGTATATACCATCTCAAAGTTATCACAGATTTCTAAGACAGAAGCATATTGTCAATCAATATTATGATTTATGATTTTAATGAGTCGAGTTTATTTATTAACAAGTTTCCCAATGACATTTTCATTTCTAACGAACAAGTATAATTTCATTTTTAATTTTTTTTTTTCATTCATAATATATAATGGCAGTTCATTAAACATCGTAATGACCATGTAAAATGGCCTGCTAATGATCACGTTTATCCTGACTGGAGACAAAAAAGTATATCTTTACAATGTGTATCTGAAATTTTTTTCAGAAACGCAAAACTCCTTGGAAGCACATTTTAACTTCGAAGCCTATTTGGGGCTTAGTGGCATCACATTGCGGAAGCGCAATAGGATACTTACTGGTATTAACACAAATACCGATGTACATGAACAAAGTACTTGGAGTTGATATAAAAAGGGTAAAAAAATGTTCATAACTTTTATACATACATTGAACACAATAGTTTTTGCTTCCTACTTATTATGCAATATAACTATGTGTCATAAAGGAACTGATATAGTTGTTTATTTTCAGAATGGATTGTATTCGTCTTTGCCATATATTTCGATGTACTTAATGTCACTATTTTTTGGATATATATCTGATTTTGTAGCAAACAAAAAGCTGATGTCAGTAGCTAATATAAGGAGAACAGCAAACACAATTGGTACGTACTTATATTAAATAAAAAATATGTCTTTGTTATTTAGACCATTGAGGATTATAAGTGTTAGTTATACCATGTTGTGATGACGTTAGAATATCCACTACCCATTAAAAAGGGGTACCTACAAGCCTTTTCTTGCGTTTCTTTTTTCTGTTAAATTTTATCAACTGGCACGAAACAACGAGGGAACCTAGAGACAATTATGTTCGCCCTAATAGACAACGCCTATAATATCATATTTCTATTATATAATAAGGATGACCAGCGAGCTTAGATCCTACTGATGGTAAGTGGTAACTGTGGTCCATAGACATCTACATCTATTCTTGATTAAGAATCCAAATGCAAATGCGTTGTCATCACTGAGAACTAAGAGGAGCGCCTCGTTTCCAGTTAAAAGTTCAGGTTCTCTTTATTTGCCACAAAACACAGCAACATTAAGTTATTATTTTAATTTAAACGTAATTTACTCCTATCAGCGTAAAATAATAACTAAGAGCGTCATTTTGCTCCGGTCATACTGAACGATTCGTGCCACAACCATGATATGGTTGCGGCATGGCTCTACCAGGTATAAAATTTAATCTATATCTGCGTCGTGTTTCTGGTCAGGGATACCATATTCCCAATATATCTAAACCTGCCTACTCTCATTAATAGAGTCCTATTCCGTTTAATTGAAGGCACAGTGGAAGCTAATAATCTTCAATGGTAGTCCAAGCATTCACTTTTCTTGACATATGCCAAGCAATGACTGTGATAAAGCTGCCTAATGATTTTGCTAAGTCACAGATAAGCGCACTTAGAAGCACCATGTCGTCTGCGTAGCAAATGTTGTGAGATAACTACGTCAATGCCACTTGACGGAATTAATTTAGAAGAAGATGGAAAGCTTGGGCGAGGTTGAGCCCACCTGCCTCACTCCTTTTATATTTTTTATATACATACTGTACGGCTTGAAATAATTTTCTGACTATCGCACGATTACGTGGTAGAACCACGCTGTAGCTATATTATGTTTGTAGCAAGAATGGGTTGACTCGACCAGGGTAGACTCGCACTTACAAAACTTTTTCTATAAAAAAGTCATTTTATCTTAGTCCTCAGAGGTGACATCGCATCTACATTTCGAATCTTAATCACGAATTGATGTAGATGTCTATGGGTCACAGCTTCTAATTACAAATAAGTAGCACATTTTCTCGTTTGTCACCCTTATTCTATAAAAAAATCATTAACCTGAGCTTAACACCAAAATCTAAAAATCCTGTTTATTCGTCGGTAATAATTGTTAATATATAGATTGTAATAGTCTTCTCAATTGAACTGACTCAAATTACCCAGTTTATCAAAGAATACATGCAGTGTACTTTGGGATTTTTTGATATTTTGTTGTTGTCAATGGGAAATTCAATTGAAACTCGTAGTAATTACAGGAAATCTTTTAAATTCTAGACAGGTATAAAAATTATTTTCAAGGTAAACTTTTCATCAGCTCGCCATTAACGCTGCACTGAAAAAGTAATTTATATATTTTGACGGTCAAACTGAATTTAATCCCAACCCGATAAATGATACTTGTTAATTTCAAATAAAAGTGCTGGTTTCCCAGCGAGCTGGATGTATAGGAAAAATCATCGTGTGAAAATTTGCATGTGTGGGGAAATAGACATTTAAATACAACTGAAATCCGCCATTGTAAAACTCACGACAGGTAATGCTGGTGCTGAAGGAAACGTGGAGGGGATAGCTGCGAATGTCTTATTAGTACAGGGGACGAAATGCAACTGAAGAGCCAATAAGCGCGTATGAACGATACGCACAGCCAATCATACGCTATAGTGCGCAATATTGTCAGTTATTCCCAATAACAGTCACGGCTAGACTATCTACCGCAAATTGTACTTTCTAGAAGCACGGCGGTGATTATGCCAAAACCGCATGAGAAAAAAGACCAGTTTTAAGTAGTGCAACGTAAGTTATACTGTAATATTTAATATTATTTCATTCAATCTTTTGCAGGTATGACAATATCAGGATTCTTTCTAATCGGATTTAGTTTTGTACATGACACGATGGTTGCTGTGATTCTACTGGTGCTTTGTCTAGGCCTCCATTCTGGCATTCAAGTTGGTTTTCATGTAAGTTATTTTTGCGAAATATGTTTTAAAAAATGTGTGTTTAAATTTAGCGTTTCGACAATCAACTTCAACCGAGTTTGATGCATTATTCTTATTAGCGGCCCAAAAAATGGCAGAATATTTGAAATTGACAATATCGTTTCAACCGGGGAAGATTAGGACTACCAGGATAAAAAGGGTGATACTTCTGCGTTTCATGTGACGAGTGGCGGGAACCGGAAACTTTTTAAGCGTTTCAGGTTATCCTACAGATGAATTGTCTTGCCATGGTTAACTCAATAAATATATTTAAAAATATACCCCTACAGGAAACAAGATTGTGAATCAAGTTTTTTTTGCAACTATTTAGACGACTTATGGATTCTGACAATTATTTCTTTAGTCAACTAAAAAGTGTAAAAGATAACATTTATAAAAATAATAGTACACTAAAAAGTCCATAATATGGTAGAATCGCTAAAATACCTAAGGACTATGCTCATTAACCTCAATACTGCCTCAATATCCGAACGGATAGGTCTTAAGATGATCTTGGGCAAAATAAAGATGATGTGGAATGTCCATGTCACACCTATGCCGGTATTTGTTGGGAACATAAAGCTCAAAGTTTTAGACGAGTATATTTACCTAGGATAAATAGTCCTTCTCCTTGTTATATTATAAAGATAAATAGTCCTTAGTAATAAGTCTTACTTTGACTGAGAGGTAAATCGATAGACTTAACTTGGCTGGGTAAATTACGATACATTACGATCACAATATCCGCCAAATAAACACAGGCGCCAAAAAAAAAATCTTATCTTCAGGTATACCTTAAAACTTGAAAACGAATTATAAATCTAAAACGTAGTACTTCATTGATGGTCGTATGAGGAAGCTCAATTTCGCTAAACGAGCTATGGAAAGGGCTATGCTCGGAGTTTCTCTGCGTGATAAACTTAGAAATGAGGATATCCGCAGTAGAGTGACCAATATAAACCTAAAGGATTAGTAAGCTGAAGTTGCAATGGACCGGCTATATAGCTTGAATACCTGGCAACTAAAATATAAAATTATATACGTATATATATATATATATATATATATATATATATATATATATATATATATATATATATATATATATATTAAAAGGACTGTTACATTGATTTACTATAAAAAATATTATATTTTATGCCGAACATGTAGTTTAAATAATAATATTAAATAAATCATTTTCCGTAAAGTATTTGTATTTTATATTTCATTTAGTATAATATTAAGAAAGGTTTGATGGATGCAGCAACCGAACAATGTGGTATAAGTAAGGGAAATAATGAAAAGAGAAATAATACATTAAGTTGTGATAACGAGGTACGGATGGAAGTTGAAGCAAGGACTTTTTTATAGAATAAAGTTGAAAAACGAGCTCACAGTCCACCTGATAGTGATTGGATGCTGTGACCCATAGACATCTACATTTATTCTGGATTAAGAATCAAAATAGAGGTGCGTTGTCACCCCTGAAGACTAAGACGGAGTGCCTCGTAACCAGTAAAATGGATCTCCGGACACCATACGAAACACAGTAGTATTAAGCGGCTATTTTAAGCTGCTATTCTGTGAGAGAGTGGTCTTTCCCCGGTCGAGCCGACCCATTCGTGCTACAACTATAATATAGCTGCAACGTACCTCTACTACGTATAAAAACTATAGTTATCAGCAACCAAAGCTGGTAATTTTGGCAGCACAGATGATGAAAATGAATAAAAAAGCAGTCTTTAGACGTCTAAATAAGAACTTAAAAAGTAGTTTTGAGAAAAAAAAAGAATGATAGAAGAATATCTGATAAAACTTCATGTTTACGTAGAAACGATTCTAATAAACGTAGTATATTTTACTTTTTTGTAGTATTAATAACAATTATAAAAAAATTCCTTGATTGAGGAGAAAATTAAAAGAAATTTGATTATAAAGTAGAAAATCAAGAAATCAAGTGAAATTTACTTGAGCCAAGATAAATGTGTTGGTTAAAAAAAATCTACTTGCTCAAGATGATCAAAAAATTTAAACAAATCAAGTTTTTTCTAAATTGTTTTTTTTTGTGTAAGGAGAGTTTAACAGACACTACACGTAAGTTGTTGTATCCCCAAAATAGCAATTTTACAGTAGAGCCTTTTAGAGATTCAAACTGGACTAAAAACTGCATTTATTATTGTATTTTTGAGAAATTTGATAAATGAACTTAGTTGTTAGTATTCTGGATTATATTTGAAGATAATTTTAAAATATATGTATATTTTCTGAGATATCATTTATACTACGTTTTACCAGAGTACCGGCTGCGTCAGTTGTATCTCATACTTATAATATTATACCGTGGAGTACAGGCTACGTCGGCTGTTGTATCTTATACTTACCACATTGTACCGCGGTGTTTAGAATTCCTCAGTTTTTGTATGTGATAGTTAACAATATTGATTATAAATATATGTCTCATTTTAGTCTATGTAGGAAATACTAGGTATTCAGAAATTAAAACATATATTATCAAGTATAAATTTCTTTATTTTTTTTTAAATAAAAACGACTCATTTAGATATTTTTAGGAATGTTTTTATCAACATTGCAATAAAAGTGCTTGTATTCATTATTCATACATTGGCATTAAGATCTTAGAAAACGTCTTATAATATATATATGTATATATATATATATATATATATATATATATATATACATATAAATCGTATAGTAGATTCAGCGATAATAGCCAAGTTGACTTTTGAAAATTGTTAACGTTGTTACAAACCTTAGTACGCGATTGTTGTGGGTAATCTTTGATATCATTTTAAAGTTGAAGATTAGCATGTCAATAGCAGAAATTTAAAATTGGCTATCTGCACCGCTATCGCTTATTAAAAAAATAAAACTACCTGTCTACTACTTAATGTTGCAATTTATTTTAGATAAACCAAATAGACTTGGCTCCAAACTTCGCTGGACCAATAATGGCGATGGGAAATATGATCGCTAACCTGTCAGGGCTATGTGTTCCAGTCCTCGTCTCCAATATTGTGGGTGATGACGTGGTGAGTTTTTTTTTTCAACCTAACGTAACTGGCGACATACTCTTTCACTTTTGTCAAAAGAAGCAAACAAACAATGTGGCTAATTTCACCTGATGGTAACTGATCATCACCTCTTATGAACCTTGGCAATACTAGAGGGATCGCAGGTAATATTATGTTTTTTTCCATATGTTCTTCCGTGAGTTCGGAACTACACCTTGGGAATAGGAGTACCTTAAAATATGCATTAGAACCAGTAACAACTCCAAAACACACGTCACTAACACAATTGAAGTGTTTCTATCAGGCACACTCGAGTTGTTAACGTCCAGGGAGAGGAGTGTTTTGTGCACTAAGCTCTATGTAAAACGCACATTTTGGTATGAAGAAATCACACTATGGGTTGGTCGGCGGTTTGTTCTCTCGTTATGTGTTCTCAAGAGTCCAGTTAAGTGTAAAGAGAGAGCCTTAAAATCGGCTTTCTTTTTTGAATCATGCGCCAATGAATAGTCATTCCAGTGTAAATACGAGAGATAGCTAAAAGAATTTTACATGCAACATTTTAATTTTTGAAAGAAGATAAAGGTTTCTCGCAAAATCTGCCGATGTGACTTTGCCTGTACAATATTTCTTTTAAAAGCAGAGAAAATGTAGGTTCACCATGTCTTAAATCTTCGTGACGAAGAAACCTGTTGTGTCAGACCTTATGCCAAGGCGAGCTCGTGAACAATTTTCTTAACATGATCGGTTTTGCCAGAACAGCCATTGTAGATGGTGGGCCTTGAAATTGTCAAGATTCACAATCTTTGCAGAGGAATTATGTTGTGTTAAGAAATCTGTGTCGGCATTACAGCTGTTACACCTATAGAGATACCCGTAGACAAGGGGATCGTTATCGCTATCTACGTGCTGCCGAAGGGCAGATAGGACCTTTAATACTGTCGAGAGTTCAAGAACAGATATTTTCTCTGAAGTATACGCAAACTCCAGCCCTAGGTACAAAATAGTGTTGTAATTTGTACCCCATATCAGATAGATAAGATGTATCAGCAGGAGAAGACGTCAAAAGGGGGCGAAAAAGTCAAAGCTTATATTCTTGATATTTGAAAATCCATCACCTAAATTGATTGCTATTACAGACGCAAACACCCACACGCGCACACACACAGACGCAGCACACACACCCACACGCATACACACGCTCTCTAACAAGTGTACGCCCACACATACACACACGTCGTGCCGCACACACACACACACACACACACACACACACACACACACACACACATACACACACACACACACAAACACACACACACACACACACACACACACACACACACACACACATACACGCACAGAGAGAGAGAGAGAGAGAGAGAGAGAGATACACGCACAAAAAATCCACGCACACACGCAGAGTAAGAGAGAGAGAGAGAGAGAGAGAGAGAGAGAAGGGGGAGATACACATAGGCGCGTTTTCCACAACATATTTTTCTTATTTTGATTTTTGTTTGCTTTTCAGACAAATCAATCCAAATGGCAGATACTGTTCATTTTGTTTGCTTCAGTACAATTTGTAACAAATACAGTATTTGTTATATTCGTAAAAGGCACGGTACAGGACTGGAACTTCTACTGCGGTGAGGATAAAGGTGACTAACGAATATCGTCTACTCATATTATGATGCTAATTACATCTTTCATAAACATCTGTCATTAGCTCTTTAGCATTTTCCTATTGCACATATGTAACGCGATTTCTTCATCAACGAAAGCATCCATGACTTTTTCTTCCACCAGGCCGATGCTACGTAGGAATGATGTGAAATATTTGACAATTTCAAAGCTGAGGAAGTAGAAAAATATAGTTTTCAATGTTTTTTCCTAAATATTAGTTGTAAATTTTTTGAATTAGATTAGAAATAGATAAATTAAACTACGGGTTTTCATAAAAGTGGAAGAATAATTAATAAAAAATTAAACAAGTGTAAGAAAGTAAAAAAGATAGTAATGATTGTTTTTTGTACATTCTCGTAGATACACTAAAATCTAAAAAGTTTTATTTAAATCGCAACTTTTCAATGACGATGACACAGTGTGACAATCTGCGTTACTAATAAGTTCACCTCAATCCTAATTAGCAACACCTGGTGAGCGTAAGATTTTTATTATATTATATTGCACTTATTGTGAACCGATTTAAATTTTTTTTAAATAGGTTATATTTCAAGGGTGGTTACATGTAAATTTAAGAAAAAAATTAATCCCTATGGGTAGAAAATTATAAAATAAAGTTTTTAGTGTAACTATTTAAACGACATTCAAGTTGTTCAGTTGAGCTTATATTGTATTGTCACTGAGACCACTAAACAGGGTACCAAAAATAAAATTGGAATTAAAATTAACCTCTCAACACCCTAGCGGACTCATGAGACTGCGGCCATATTCCGTCAAAATTCAAGCGGTCGGATTCGACCGCGCACAGCACTATAAACCATTAAAACTTATATTTAAAGGCTACTTTTCTATGAAAGTTTGGCATTGGCGCACGCAACTGCGTGGGATTTTTATGGCGCTTGAAAGGTTAACAGCCGACTTTAAAGATTTTTAGATTTCGAACGACACATACGTTATGATGTTATGAAGAAGTTGATTATCTTAAGCCTCAAAATAAGACTTTCACTAAAACGTATTATTCACATAACAACACTGGCCGCATCTCAGTTCTGAGAAGGTTATACAGTTATTAGTCTGATACGCTGCTTTAGTGCGTAATATTGAACAATAAATATCTAAGAAATATTTTATTTTTATTTAAGCTTACCAACTTTATATTTGTACTTATATTTTTTATATTATTTTATTGGAATAAGGGTCACAAACGAACACGCAGTTTACCTGATAGTTAGTGGATGCTGTAACCCATAGTCTCCTACATCTACCCTTGAGTAAGCATTGCAATGAAGAACGTGTTACCACCCCTGATAACTACGACGAAATGCGGCGTTTCCATAGGATACATAGCAGTATTAAGCTGTTAATTTACGCTGCGATCCTATGACATCGTGTTCCCTTCCTGGTCAAGCTTTGCCGTTCGTGTCACTTTCATAAAAGAACAAAATGCTTATGTAATATTTATTGATTGTATAAAATTATTTCAGAAAACAAACTAGAAAATTACTACGCTATGGCAGATTTCAAAGGCGTTTCATCGCAGAACATCGAGAAAGAGAAAACTGAAAACAATAAAACTGCAACTGGTGGGATATAGAACCACGCTCTATACTTGTTTGATCATACTGCTATTAATAATTCTGTTTAAATTTCAATAATTGTTGTTAACAATTAGAATCTCACTGAGTTGTAACCACTTTTGATTTTATTTATTTATTTCGACAGCAAGGATCATCTGCAATATTATATTCATTTTAAATTACAAAAGCTTTATTACATTGCATACGTAGTATCGTATGCCTGCTGCGTATGTCTGATCCATAAGGTATAAGTGTAGCAGGATTAGCAACAGGTCTTAAATAAAGTAAGTTTTACGCCGTCTGTACAGCGTGAGTACTGTCTGGCCAGCATAATGCAGCGGAGAGCCAGCACACTCCTTATTTTTTAAATGTCCTTATCGTCTTCTAAATCTTCCGTAACCATATTACTGACGTACTTAAATTCAGTTACTCATTCAAGAGTAACATTTCATTAGGTCTCTTCGTGCCCACCTTGAATACTATAAGCTCACACTTTGCAATATTTTAAGAGCTTCTGATTTAATTATTAAACATTAAAAGTATTATTTAAAAATGTCTTAGTATGAAGACTATAAATATTTAAAAAACTTTTGTGTTGTCTATAGGTTTAGTAGAGAGTATACAAGTACACCTCGTTACAATGTTATTAGTCTTGGAAATAATTGTTGTATTTCTAATTATCTTGTTTTCATTACTAGCTCTACCTGATTACATTGTATGTACAATGGCTATAATACTATTACCGTTACCCCTAAAACCTATTGAAGTCTACTGCTAAGCATAGGCTCCCCCATAAATTGCCTCATACGGGGATATTTGCCATAGTTGCCACATTTGATTTTCAGGTTAGCAACCGCAGTTTTACTTTAACTTTTAATGGTTATTAGATCTTTCTTACACAGCAACCCATCTACTGATTAGTTTTCTTCTGTTGTATCTTACGACACCCACCGGATGATGTGAGGTAGTAGATATACTTACACCACCACTACACTTTAAATGGCTGTAATTAAATTTTCCAATTCAGTTTTTACTCACTTCCGGACGTCTGCATATTCAGAAATTTTTCAGAAAAATAAGTAAACAAATGAAAACATATGCGTTGAATATAAAATCTTCTTGTTTTTGTTACTTGGTTATAAATAAACTATTCCCTAATTTTTATTTATTTTAAACACTCTCCTATTCTTTCTTTCTTTATTTATTGAGACTAGACTAGACTACCAACTAAGTATATATAAAAACATTTAGCAACATGTTGTAACAACACTATATCATCATCATCATCATCATCATCAATTACAACCCTTCACAAGTCTACTGCTGAACATAGGCCTCCCTCAAGTAATGCCACAAAGCACGGTCCTGAGCCACCTGCATCCATCGACTTCCTGCATGTCTTACCAGGTCGTTACTCCATCTAGTGGTGGTCGCCCTACACTACGCCTACCGGTACGAGGCTGCCACTCGAGAACCTTTCTTCCCCATCGGCTATCGGTTGTTCGAGCTATATGGCCGGCCCATTGCCACTTCAGCTTACCAATCCGTTGGGCTATGTCGGTCACTCTGGTTTTACTGCGGATATCCTCGTTTCTGAGTCTATCACGCAGAGAAACTCCGAGCATAGCCCTCTCCATAGCTAGCTGAGCGACCTTGAGCGTCCTCATACGGCCAGCAGCCACAACACTATATATATGTACTTAAATTATAGGTGAGTACAACACTAACAAAGCATAATATATTATTTAAAAACAAAACTAAAAAATTGTTGTGTTAGATATAAATTTTGTTAATAGAAAAGTCAAATATAAAATAAAATAAAAACATTATTAACTAACACCATAAGATAAAGTTATATTTAATATTTTTATTTAATTTATTACTGAAATATTTGAATCTAGGATACGCATAGTAAAATACGCTGTGCCACAGGGTCCTCTACTATATAAAACGTATATAAACGATCTGCCGAAAGCTACTAACACACCCACATCACATTTTGCTTACGCCAGTGCAGTTATAATAGTAAACACTAATACTGACCGATATAAAAATGATATTAATAAAACCTTGACAAATATAATTGTCAAGGTTTTTAAATGCATTTTAATTAATAACTTATAAACAAATTTAAGAAAAACTAAATATATATTTTTACCTCTTAAAAAGCTACTCCCAAAATATCATTATGAAAATAACAAAATAGAATAAGTAGTATCCACTAAATTCTTACAATTGACAATTGACAGGAAAATTAACTGGAAGTCTCACATAGTAAGGCGGCATACAATTTGCCTGCATAATATCATCATCATTACAGTCCTTCGCAAGTCCACAGCTGAACATAGGCCTCCCCCAAGTAATGCCACAAAGCACGGTCCTGAGCCACCTGCAACCATCGACTTCCTGCGTGTCTGACCAGGTCGTCACTCCATCTACCACTGCCACTCCAGAACCTTTCTTCCCATTCGGTTATCGGTTCTTCGAGCTATATGGCTGACTCCATGCCACTTCATCTTAACAATCTGTTGGGCTATGTCGGTCACTCTGTTTTTACTGCGAATATGCTCATTTCTGAGTTTATCACGCAGAGATACTCCGAGCATAGCCCCACTTCATAGCTCGCTGAGCGATCTTGAGCGTCCTCATACGGTCAACAGTGTAGAACCACGTCTCAGATCCGTAAGTCAACACTGGCAACACGCACTGATTGTACAATCTAGTTTTAAGAGTTTGAGGTATACCTGATGAGAAGATGTGTCATAATTTCCCGAACGCTACCCAGCCTAGTTGAATCCGTCGATTGAACTCTCGGTCGAAGTTTGACTTACCTAGTCAAACTATTTGTCGCAGGTAAACGTACTCGTCAACTACTTCGAGCGAAGTGCTCCCAATAACTACTGGCGTAGGTGTGACATGGACATTTAACATGATCTTTGTTTTGTCCATGTTCACCTAAGACCTATCCGTTGGGAGACATCATTCAAGACTTTTCTTCAATTTACGCGAACACTACATATTGAATAAAACTATTATTTAAGGATTTTATCGCGTTTAATTACTTTAATTTGTTTTTACTATCCCGACGTTTCGGGTGCTTTACAGCACTCATGGTCACGGGGGGGACTGAGATTTTTGACGTCCCAATGTTATAGTTAGTCCGGCTACCTTCAGTTTTTTGAATATTAATTTTTGGTCCGATTTACGCAAAACGAGCTTATAGTATCCTGAAGTCTTGCAGCGGTATGCTTGGGTTTGGGTTTCATTTTGTTAATTATAGGATCCCAAGCTGCTGGCAGCACCCATCCATCTTTTCTATTGAAATTTGGATGTTTTTTAATTTCAATAGCCTCGCGTATCATCCTTGGTAGGAATCGGTGTTCTTTTGCGAGGATTTGTGGTTTATCAAATCGAATGTAATGGTGGGGACGATCTTGAACATGTTCGCAGACTGCAGACTTCCTGGAGCGTCGGTGCTTTACGTCAGCTATATGTTCCTTCACGCGCGTTTTTATAGATCGTTTTGTTTGACCTATGTAAGAGAGATCACATTCACAATCTAGCCTGTACAGACCTGCATCCTGTAGAGGAATATTACATTTGATGGATGGTAAAAATTGACTAATCTTCTTCGGTGGCTTGTAGTATGTTTTAATGGAAGCTCGCTTCAAGATGTAGCCAATATTGTCTGTGACTCCTCTGATATATGGTAGTACAGCAGGCGCACGTTCGACTGTGGCTGGCTTCACTCGTTCACTGTGACGTAGGCGAGGGACCCGAAGCTTGTTGTCTTGCAATACTTGCTTGACGTGTTGAAACTCGACGGCCAGATTTTTTCTGTCACAGATCCCTCGTGCTCTCTGAAACAAAGATTTACCCACGGTAGCTAACTGTGAAGTATGATGGTGAGATTCACCATTTAGATATCGTTTGGTATGGGTCATTTTCCTATACACAGTGTGAGCAATAGTGTTATCAGTATTTTACCTGACGTAAAATGCGAGAGAAGTGAACGAATAAGATGGGCAGCAGCGTCTTCTTAGTTACCGCTGTAGAAATATAGTGTTTTAACATCTCAATATTGTTGAAAGAAATGACGGAGAAGAAAGGTTCTCGAGTAACAATCTCGTACCGACAAGCAAAGTGTAGGGTGACGCCCCTGGTGAAGACAAGGTTGCGCAAGAGTTGTTTTTTATTAATTTTCTAGTTCATAAATTTATATTAATAAAACATCTATGCAAATTCATCACAATCCCTTTTATCATTTTTAAAGTCTTAAATCATTAAAAATAATAGCTCACATATCGCCTTCTTTATTCATTACAAGTGTTTAAACTATTTTATTACAAACTTTCACGAAAATTAAAGTGTACATTGCTGGAATATTGAACGCCTGGCAATTTTAGTTGCAAAATATTAGTTGTTTTTTATCAGGCGTCATATATTATTATTAACTTTTTGATTTAAAGGTTTAGCTAATTAAGGCCTAAATTAAAATCTAATAAAAGCCAACGTTGCTCGCTTTTTGATTTCCTTTTTTTTTAATTATTAACCAGAATAAAAAATAATAACGAGTGAAAAACAAATCAAACATTTGAATAAAAAAGACCTCAATTAAAAGAAAGTTTTAATAGCTATTTAAAAGCAATTCCAAATAGTAAAGAAATAAATGAATTGCAAATTCTAATTGAGCTTCAGATGCGTTTAAATAAAATTGAAAATTTACACGATGATTTTGAAGGTTTGCAGAGTGAACTGGTGGAGTTGTCGAATAATTAATTTCAAAATTATTAAACTACCAAACAAACGTATATAAACAATTTAAATCTCTTAATTATTTATCTAAAAAAAAATACTTTCTAAATATTATTATTGATTGATGCCACGTGGCGCAGGGGCTTAGCAATGAGTTTCTGCACCGACAACCGATCGACCACCGACAACCGTCGAATCCCACACGAAACAAATATTCGTATGGCCTACAAATAAATGTTTTGGGTCTGGATGTTATTCCGTG